CCTTTCTGCGTAGGCGGCCTTCGGCCGCACTTAGGGATTATAACCCTCAGGCAGTAGAATTCTCCTTTCTGTGTTGCCAAAGAAAAGGGGCCGAACACCTTTTGCATAGAACACCTTTCTGCGTAGGCGGCCTTCGGCCGCGCTTAGGATTATAACCCTTACTACGTAGAATTCTCCTTTCTGTGTGACCTAACTGGGGCTACCGCCCCAGTGATGTAACCTTGGGAAAGGATGAGGTAGCTAGAATTCCCTTTCTCTGTGGTAAACCTGGGGCTGGCACCCCAGTGATGTCTATTTTGGTTGGCCATAAAGGAAAGCCAACTGCACCTTTCTGCTTAGGCGGCCTTCGGCCGCGCTTAGGATTATAACCCTTACTACGTAGTATTCTCCTTTCTGTGTGACCTAACTGGGGCTACCGCCCCAGTGATGTAACCTTGGGAAAGGATGAGGTAACTAGAATTCCCTTTCTGTGTGGCACCCCAGTGATGTCTATTTTGGTTGGCCATAAAGGAAAGCCAACTGCACCTTTCTGCTTAGGCGGCCTTCGGCCGCACTTAGAGATTATAACCCTCACTACGTAGAATTCTCCTTTCTGTGTTGCCGGAAGAGGGTAATATGACCCCAAGCCCCCTACTATTTATCTTTATCTGAACAAAATAACCTTATTGTATTTTCCTTTTAATCGTATTTTCTTTGGTCTTGCTTTCCACTCTTGGTTTTTAGATATGGCAACACAGTCCTGCTGCCATTTGCGCATATTCTGCATGTACTCTCATAAAATAAACAACAATCAATTTTTGATAAAAAAGCTGTAATATACTAAAAGTATCTATTTGTTTGAACGTGCACACTCTAACCGCGCATATATTGAATGTAAATAACCTGTAAATTTAGTGGAAAATGCATTATATATTGTAAAATAGTGCCATACAAGTTGGTTAAAATTACAAACTTTAATAACAAATTCCTTAAAAAGTATAAGGTTGCGCGCTTTGAAACTTCATACAGGGAACTGTTAGACCCCCCTCTACCCCAAATATTTTTCTTAATGCTGTACTCCGGGGTTACCAATCTAAAGCCCACCCTCAAAAGTCGGAAACCACCTTGCACAACTTCGCCTCGACTTGTGAATTGCAATTTCAAAACCCAAGGTGTCGAAGAGACCAGTCCTTATTACCAAGATCAAGACGTACCGTTTTTATTTAAATAGGCGTTTTCTTTAAAATTCACGATTAATAATCCAAACCGAAATATATGGTAGCAATATTATAACAAGACCTTTGACAATCACGTACATAGAGAAGCACACGCTGCTTCGATGCTTTGAAACATCGATAATATCGGTCTCAAACTCGATGTTTGCCATCGATATTTAATACACCCGATTAACGTGATTCAAGTACTTGGAAGCAATGCGTGTGCATTCCCTTTTGTGTTTTCTATTTGCTTTTAAGGTACGACCGCGCTAGGCGACGCGACACGACACTACACAGCGCGGCGAAAAATTCCTTGCATGTATTCTAATGGAGCATACCGCACTACGTTGCAGCGGAGCTACGCGACACATGCATTTCATTCAAGAAGAAAATTGTATGTAATGAAACATAATATTTGAGAAGAATTCGTCAAGGAAAATAAAAATAAAAGGCATATACACAACATCAGCGTCACTGGCATCAATCTTGTTTGAAGGTTTTGACACAAATAAATTAAAAAATTTGCAGCGAAGTGTCCCGCCGCTCCAGTTTCAGTGCGATATACCAAAAAGTGTCGCGCCGTGTCGCGTAGTGCTGCTGCAGTGTCGCGTCGCTTAGTGCGGTCTTACCTTTCAACGTTTCAATTTTGTGAATTCAACTCTTCCGCTCTTTAAATGGAAAATAACGAAAATGTCTAAAGCAAGACAAGAAGACTGGGGGGTAATTATCTAGGTGGGCTTTCAACCCCTAAAATTGATCAAACTTTAGTAAAGGAGGTACCGTTAGACGCGTCTGCACCCCAGTAACAAGAATCCGAAAGCGGAAATTAACTTTTTTTACCCGATTAAAAGTTATTAATAAAAAACTTTTTCACAATAGCACCTTTTTTATTCACTTAATACACACACAAACGCACAAATCGCCCATGTTTCACCATACGTACAACAACAATACTTCATTTTAGCCACATAGGTCAAAATATCGCTAAAAGCTTATATATTTTATTTATTATAATGTAAACAATTTTGGCCTGCTCAACGCAAAATTCACCTGCTGATGTGCGGTATTGCCACTCTCTAACACTCCGAATTAATACAATTACCCAACGTCTACACCTACCAACTATTTCCGCGTGCCTTTAAGAATGTGGTTTATAATGCAATGCAATTTTGTTTCAGAATTTGGAATTGGTATGGGGTGGCATTACGAGTATGGAAGTTTAGTTATTTTCATGGAAAGAAAAATATAAGCGTCTTTTAAAAGTAGTAGTATATACATATATATATAGTAGTACAGTGAAGTATCGATTTTTATTAAAAAAAGCGAAGCAGGGGAAAATTTGTAATAAAAAATCGCAAAATAAAAATCGATACTTCGATATATAATGAAAATTTGTAATAAAAAAACGCGCGATATCCTATCGGTACTTCGATATATAATGAGAATTTTTAACAGTCTGTACTCCGTGTAAACATATTCAATATTTATTCCATTCAGATTGAGTGGCAATACCGCACATCAGCAGGTGAATTTTGCGTTGAGCACACCAAAATTATTTACGTTTTAATTAATAAAATATATAAGTTTTTAGTGATATATTTAGCGATATTTTAAAATAAATGACTAAAATGAAGTATTGTTGTTGTATAAATAGTGAAATATGGGCATTTTGTGCGTTTGTGTGAGTGTAGTAAGTGAATAAAAAAAGTGCTATTGTGGAAAAGTTTTTTGTTCATAATTTTTGATCGGGTAAAAAGTTAATTTACGCTTTCGGATTCTTGTTATTGGGGTCCATACGCGTCTAATGGTGCCCGCTTTTCAAAAGTTTGACCAATTTCGGGGGTTGAAAGCCCACCTAGATAATTAACATTTGCACACACTTGTAGTCAAGGGTCTACACATTATTTTAACACCCACTTTTGTAATTTTTGGTCACTAATTTATTTAAAAATTGGGCTTTGAAATATGCCCTTTTTTGAAAAATTCGGAAATTAGTGTACATTTATCAATCCTATTCTCTTTAAAGCAGTCACTTCACCAATATATTTTTATGGCCCCTTGGCCCAAAAATCGATATGTAATGCAGCGCTCAGTATAACTAAAACTTTTTAACAAAATCATTTTCCCTTTTCCTAACAGACAATTATTAATTTCTTCTCAAAAGTTTCCGATATCATTCCAGCCGATTTTTAGAATACTTAGCATAGGTAGAGCCTTGTTAGCATTCTCTCAAACTAAGCTTTTCAACAATAGTCGATAAAGACAGTAAATAAAATGTAACATTAGGTTTCCTGAAATAAAAATAACTAATTAATAAGTTTTGACGCCCTTATCTACATTTACCATTGCGTAAATCGGTTATGTAAATTTCAAAATCCACCTATGCATCCCCAACTTGCTTATAAAATCTAAGAAATAAACAAATTAACCCAATCGGCCTGCATGACATATCGATAACATGCCATCATTGCTACTGCGCAAGTTGCGAGGGTATAAAAACCTGATGGCAACCCCACAGTCGGCCTTTAGCAAAATCGTTTTGATGAACTCGCGCCAGTCATATAGCGAAACAAACCAAGAATTTACAGACATATTTTAAAAAGGAAAAGTTTGAACAAATTAAAAAGAATTCATTAAAAATAATTAAAAAGAATAGGAACACTAGTGCTAGTGAAGTGAAGAAAAGGGCGAAGAAAAGAACACCCTACAGTGATCTGTGGAGTGAAAAAAAAGGAAAAAAAAAACTAGACTAAAATAAGCCCACTGGGTGGAGGGCACCCCACACCATAATCCAGTACCCAAACCGTACGGAAGGCTCAGCTACAGAGCCCCATCACCACCTACGAGCACCAATCTCGCCAAACGACAACCAGCACCATCCACAGCAGCCGCAATCAAGGTAAGTCTTCTTTAATACAAATAACCATAAGTAGTGTAATGGGCTGTTTTTGCTTACGCGTAAATGTACATTTAGCGCATTTAGCTCTAAATGCTACTCTAAATGTACATTTATCCATACAAAATTCGTCATCTAAATGCACCTAAATGCAACTCAATCTTTGCATTAAGAATCTAAATGCTAAAAGCAACCCTGCGTTCTTCGAAGATTCGAACAAGATTTAATGAAAAAGAGTGGCAATACCGCTTGTTTCTGTGTACATACATAAATATTTGTTGACATTTTGTTTTGCTGATACATACATATTTTTTTTCCTGTGTGCGCTTAAATTAATAAATATTGACAATAAAAAATTAAGCGATCGCGAAATCTTTGGACCGCAGATGCAGAGGAGGTATTTGTGATGTTGTGGCAACAAAAAGTGGATGACTTGAGGGGGCCCAGAAAAAACAGCCATGTCTATCAGGAGATGGCGGCAGAAATGCAGATGCAAGGATATGATGTCAATTCCTCATCTGTCAAAATTAAGATTGACAATTTGACGGCAAAATATAGGTAAAAAAATAAAGTTATAAAAAATATTTATTCCTGTAATGTTCTTTTCATAGGAAGGCCAAGGCAGGTATGGGGACGACTGGAGGCTCACCTGCTTCTTGGCATTTATTTGAGCAGGTGCACCAAATAATTGGTGGCTTCTCCATCAATAACGTGGAAGAGCTGATAGAAGAGAGTTTTGAAGGTAATTGCTAGTTATTCAATTTACATGATTAAAATTGTATGTGTATATTCAAAATCATTTTTATTATTTAAAACTAATCTATATACATAAATTCAAAATACTCATTTTCAGATTCGATGTCATCATCCCCGACAAATATCTCGCCGCTTTTTCCTTCTCTTCCCCAGCTGTCGCCATCACCGTCGTGTTCATCACCACTGCCGTCAGGATCGGGAGGGGCAACACTTCCCCCATCAATATCAAGCGCAGCAACATCTACCAGATCTGGAAAACAAAAACAGATGGATCGATTAGTGACGATTTGTGAGGGTATCCAAAGCAATTTTTCGGAGGCTATGGAAAAATTCACAAAATCGAACGATGAATTGGTCGAAATAGAAAAGGCAAAGCTAGTCGCAATGCAGGAACTGCAGAGGGATGCAAGAAGGCTGACGGATGGACTACTTTATTTTTTAAATATATTTTAAGGAAATAGTATGTAGAAATTAGACTGAATTATTTTGTTTTTATTTTTGAAGTAGATATTAAGGAAATAGTATATAAGGTTTTGAGAATTGCACTGAATTATTTTGTTTACATTTTTGAAGTAGATTTTAAGTATATAGATTTTAAGGAATTAGTAAGTAAGGTTTTGAGAATTGGACTGAATTGTTTTGTTTACATTTTTGAAGTAGATTTTAAGTATATAGAAAGTAAGATTTTGTGAACTGAAGTGCTTGGATTTGAAATTGTGATAACATTTTGCTAGAGTACCTTTTTCCTTTTTTAAAACTAAAAGTTTTTTTTTTTACTTCGCGTCAAGATAAAAAGACATGAACTGAAATAAACGTGATATTAACTTACTGTAATATGAACAGAACGCATTCCTTATTGATTCCGCTTCTGCTAAGGTTTGGTGCGAGTCCACGGATTGTGGTTGTCTTCTCCTAATATCATTAGCGTGCTGCTCGTTAAGCCAAGAAGGTATAACTAGGTCATTTTCTGCTATTAAAAAGTTGTGCTAGGCACAACAAGCCTTTATAATAGAATTTGCATTATCAATTCTGTTATCAATTCCTTTTCCGATCCGGCGAAACCTAAATTTGTATACATATATGTTAAAATAATAAGTGTATCCCACTGGGAAAATAAGTAAGCACCTTACGAGGTAAGCCATGCTTTCTTTCAGTTTTTAGTACCAAAATTGTCATCATGGCCAATGCCACCTACAAGTAAAGCACAAAATGAACACCTCTGACGACACATTACTTTGTCAGTTGCAAAATAACTTGCAGCCGAAGTTATTTCCAAGCGCCAAACTACTCCGAGCGACTGCTCTGCATTATGCGTAACTTACTTTGTAAAGCGACTCAGAGGTATGTCTGATACCAAATGTACATTCTAAATTCCTACTTACATAAGGCGGCCACGTCTTTGTTAAAGTAAGGGAGATTCGTCAGTGAAGTCGTAAGGACTGCCGGGTGAAGTGTAAGTTGCTGGTAAGGTATTGCCCTTCACCCGGCGGTCCTTACTACTCCCTGCCGAATCTCCATTACTTTAACAAAGACGTCGCCGCCTTATGTAAGTAGGAATTTAGAATCTACATTTGGTATCAGACATACCTCTGAGCTGCTTTACAAAGTAAGTTACGCATAATTCTGAGCAGTCGCTCGTAGTAGTTCGGCGCATGGATATAACTTCGGCTGCACGTGATTTTGCAACTGACAACTTAATGTGTCGTAGGAGGTGTTCATTTTGCGCTTTACTAGTAGATGACATTGGCCGTGATTACAATTTTGGTACTAAAAACTGAAGGAAAACATGCCTTACCTCGTAAGGTGCTTACCTATTTTCCCAGTGGGATTTAACGACCACATCTATATTTACTTAATTACCTTGCTTTCAATTGCCCAAAAGCATTTTCAACCACTATACGAGATTTTGAAAGTTGGTAATTGAAAGCTTTTTGTGCAGGCGCCTTATCCAAACTGAATGGAAAAGGCTTCATTAAATATTTGGAAAAACGAAAGGCAGAATCTCCAAGAATGACAACTGGGATGTCAAAAATTCCTAAATTTGTGCTCATTGTGTTCAGAAGTGAGCAGTTCTCCAGTTCCCTTTTTAAGCTGGACTTTTCAAAGATTTGGGAATCATTACATCTTCCTGGACTTCCCACGTTGATGTATAAAAAACGATATCTTTAAAAGAAAAGAAAAAGTTATGCGCTATGTAATTTACATTCGGATGAATATGCATATACGCAAAATAAAATATCTAAAAAATTTCATACTGGGTACCTTGCATCAACAAGTGATAGTAACACTGTGGAATACCATCCTTTATATATAATCGACTGCTTCTTCCTGTCTGGGATGAATTTCTATGTGGCATCCATCTGAACAATATATTCGCTACTTAGTTGGGTAAAAATAATAATTTTAAGGGCTTACCAAGAGCACCCATAAACCCATTAACACAGTCTTCAATTGTTTCTCTACTTAGGGGAAAGTGGTTGAAATACATTGGGTGTAACACTTTCCACACTTCCCTATAAAATTCCAAGAGAGCTGCACATACTGTTGATTTGGCCACTCCAAACAAGTTCGCAATGCTACAATATTCCGCTGAGGACCCAAGAGCATATAGGGCGATGGCAACTCGTTTCTCCAAGCAGATGGTATTATGGAATCTTGTTTCCTTTCTCTTTAGGTGATCCAGAAATCCGCATAATTTTTTAAAAGCACTTCTATTCAGTCTAAAATTTTGTCTGAAGTTATTATCTCCAGAGCATTGACACTCGACTTCCTCGATTCTGTTAAACGTTGGATTTATAAGTATATGTATATACATACATACATAAGTGATTATAATTTTGTTTTCATACCTGTTGTGGAGCAAAGGTTCTTTTGTTGCAAGTTCCAAGTGGATGTATTCCCACGTTACAACTTGCACGTTTTTATACAGAATTAGCATCTCCATAAAGCGTGCACGTCTTTTTATTAATTCATATATGGATGTGTTTATTTCTTCAATTTTCGCATAATTGATGGTCACAGATACATATAATTTCACCATTAATAAAATAAATTTAATTCGGCGCATTTTGCTTAAATCTCAATGTAAACAATAAACAGATGATTTCGAACTTGGGTAAATGTACATTTGCTAAATGCGATAGCATGAACGCTCTTCGAAAATATATGTTCGAAAGTGCTAAATGTTGCATTTTAAATGCAGCAAAAACGCTGCATAATGAGCTGCTCTGGGTGTTTCTGGAGGATTTCCTTGCTCCAAAGTATTCTACCTTCGGTGAGAGCACGATTTCCTGCTCCAGCTTCTTATTTGAATGGAGTAACTTGGAGCAAGCAAGCACACACATATATTGTACGCTATGGACGAATCCAGTGTCGAACAGTCAAGGGGGGTTTGGTTATTTGTACAATAATTTTGGGGTGCCGTGAGCAAACGCGCTGCAAGGCTGCAACATACACGTGTAGGCAAAGATTTTAACTTTAATTTAAACCAACACTTCTGTGCTCTTTCGTACTGTTCTAAAAAAAATCTTATTTTGCAGCTACCCCATCCGGCTATAGTTGCCGCCACCACAGCTGCGCCCATACAACGGCGTAACACGGGTGCGCAACACCAGCAACCGCCAGAGAGCGGTGCATCAACCGGGGAGCACCCGAACACACCAGCACCCCGCCTAGCAACCCCGACAACAATCGGCACCAACAACAACCACGGCTGCTACAGCAGCAGCCACAACTACAACACCAACAACCTGGGTAAGCACCCGGGTAACCAGCGCGCCAGAGCGCCAGCGACCGCGCAAAGAGCGGTAACACCAGCGAACCGCCCAAGGATCGGCGGCACTAACCGCAAAAGCGGTAACCAGCAACGACAACACCAACAACCGGGGTAAGCACCCGGGTAACCAGCGCGCCAGAGCGCCAGCGACCGCGCAAAGAGCGGTAACACCAGGGAACTGCCCAAGGAGCGGCGGCACTAACCGAAAAAAAGGGTAACCAGCGCGCCAGAGCGCCAGCGACCGCGCAAAGAGCGGCAACACCAGCTATATCGACCAACACCAGCTATAACAACCAACCAACAGTCACAACAACAACAACAGCCGGCCACACACAAGCCTGCTGCAACAAGGGTGAGTCCTTCGGGCCATATAAAATTTGAAAATAAATATAAAGTTGGAAGTAGAGCTAAAAGATAAGAAAAAAGAAGACAAATAGGATTTTTGTATGTGAGCTTAAATTAAAGAGCACCCAACCTCTGGGGTAGGAGAGGTAAACGTACCTTAACGTAGAAACCATTAAACACTGAACCAACTCTGACTGCTAATTATAAAACAGCTTAGCTAATGACTAGGATGTGATGTAACTTTTAAAGTTCAATTTTCATTTAATATAAATAGATACATACCTTATTAGCATATGTACATAAAACTTATATATTAAGGTACCCGTGTACATACATATTATCAATTATCGTAATTAACTAAAATATTTTTCCACCAAACACGAGATAAGGCGATCATACATAGTTATAATGTATGAACCTCACTTGAGGCACATCCAGGGTATGATGCACATATAAGCCCTAGTGGCTGCATTAGGTTTTCTTCGTATTCAGTTTGTAATATATATTGCGTTGGGTATATATATTGAGATTAAATTAAATAAAAGCAAATTGAATAAAGTAAATTAAATTAATTGGAAAAAAAATAAAAAATCTAAATTGAAGAAAATTTCCTTAAACAAACATAGAATCAAATTAAATAAAAGTGAATTAAATTAACTAAAGCGAACTAAAGTAGACTACTATAGATTACGCCTTAAGTAACCTAATTTTTAACTAAAATAAATAAATAAATAATAATAAAATAAAACGAAAGATATACAAATAAAAATAATCCAGTGTATAAACTAAAGTAAACTACACTTTAATATAAATTCAAATAATATAATTCTAAGTAAATAAGGAAATTATAACAAAGAAAATGGCCACGATATAACAAAGAACTTAATATGCACAACTAGTAATACTAATAATAATAAATCCAATAGAAAAAGGAAATTAGAAGATTTAAAGGAAAGAATTATTTATTTATTTATTTATTTAATCAAATGGAATAAATCCTTACTGACTATAAAACAAGAGGCTTATATACTGCCTAAAATAATTAAGTAGGACAAAACGAACTGTTCCAAATGAGACTTTCAGCTTGTTTTATATTTTAACGTTCTTTTCCAGCTCTTTTTTTGTTTTAACGGATTTTTTTTTGAATTATTTTGCTATGTGTCCGTCCGTTAAGACGTTTGACAAGGCATGACTTTTCTCTGCTATGGCGCAGGGAACAGCGGTGAAGGCAAGAACCCAGCCCAGCCGACATGACTAGCCATAGTGCACCCTATTGTGTCATGCCGCCTGCATTCACTGCTGCTCCCAATGTATGCGTTCCATAACAGTGGCGCCCAACGGGGTAGCCCGAAGTCTGGCCAGGTTGACTGGTCCTGACTGGCACATGAATCTTCACCATCCCGCAAGTCCCAGAGGGGCATGCGTTTGCTGCCCCTTGCTGCGTTGCGGCGGGATGAGTGGAGCTGAGAGTGCTGGTTCGGATCGGTCCTCTTGGTTAGCAACCGATGGCTTCTCCGAGACTACACGTCACGTCCTCCGGAGTTTTGTATTCACCCGGTAAGGCAGTGCTAAACGCACTTAGTTTTTTTTGTAGTTTGACTTTTTTCTCCAAATTGTTCAGTGGTCCGATATGTCGGCACGGGAATGGGGAAAAATTAGTCCGCTAAGTGGGGTTCAGAGTAAATAGATTTTCCTTTAGTTTTTTTGCCGAATATTTTTTTTGTTTTTTGCGACTTGTTTTTCTTTGGGGAAAATATATATATATATATATATATACATTTTTCGTTTGAACCCAGCTCGCTCCATAGGTCTGCGCTGGCGCTCCTGAGCGCCTTCGTGTTGCGATGGAGTGGGCTGGGACTCCAACCACGACTGACTATCGGGGTCTCAGTCACCCCACATGTCTCAGGGGGCATGCGTAAACTGCCCTTTGCTGCATTGCGGTGGGGTGCACTGAGACCGAAAGACAGCTCAGTAAACTTGTACGCGAAGTCCAGTACACCCTTCAAGTCTGGAGGGGCATTCCATTATGCCGGCTTTGCATTGCGGTTGGGTGTGCTGGACCACAGCGATTTTTGTGTTTGTTTTTGTACCTTATTTTTTCGTAGACTAGTGCCTTCTTAATGTTAGGGGGGGTCAGCATTCCCATTGACTCCTGAAAAATACATATTTCCCAATTATATTAAGTTATACCCACTTGAATTTTGCTTACACGTATATTTACCACATATATATTTAATTAACCCACTTAATATGTTTATTTACTAAAAATATATTTTGATTGTTTTTTGTAATTCTTTTGCGTATATTCTTATTCAGTACGCGGACTAAATAATTAGTGATATTTTCGATTTTTTTTGTGGAATTGTCGCGATCGGTTACAGCAGTATCGCGCCACTTATATAAATCTATTGATTTTTTTTTATTTTATTGGAAACCTTTTTCTTCCTCGGACGTTCTTTGGCTTAGGCTGTTAACAGCAAGCCTTACCTAACTTATCATTTTTTCTCGGTTTTTGTTTGGAGCTCTTGGGGAGCCAAGCCTTAACCACCTATTGTAGACTTTTAATTCGGATTTGATTTGACCTTAAGCGTCACGTTTTTTGCTATTCCTAATTGAATTTGTCTCACCACTGAACACTCGGTAGATGGAACAGCAGCTTAGGCAAACACGCAGTGCTTCAGTTAGAGGTAGCGGCGCAAAGTCAAGAGGGGCCGGGAGGAGAACCAGTGCCGCTATGCCAGCAACTAATCCTCTGGTGATGCATTTACCTATTGCTGACCATACTGGGGGAGTTCCGCCTCCAATTCCAATGGCCAATCCCGCTCCGGGACTAAAGGTTGATAGCCGTCAAAGTTCAAATTTACTTACCGTCTGGGACTTCGGTCCAGAATATATCCGCTACCTCCATGACTATGCTTTCGGGAAGACAGGAAAATGATAGGTCTTTGCCAGGGAATACCGGTTTTGTAGAAGGTACTGCAGAAGATAGAAGTAGACGTTCTAATGGCGGAGCGCCTGCAGGAGATTCATGGGTAGGGGTGCTTCATCAGCTCTTACGTACTTCGCAAGAAGAAATGAGAGCTGAAATGAGAACAATGCAAGAAAATATGAACGCATTAAGTGCAGTAGTAACTGCATCTCAAACCACACCCAATGACCCTAGGAGCTTTGCTTCTATCGGACGCAATCCGACACAAGCAACTTTGAATAACCGACCAAATTTCACCACCAATATTGTCATTAAGCCACAGGATTGGAAGGTATCCTATGACGGCACCGGTAGCGTTTCTGATTTTCTCTTCAAACTCAATACGTTGTGTGAGCGCACACAATGTACAGATGAGCAGTTGATGGCAAGCTTCCACATATTTTTGTCAGGGCGAGCTGAGGAATGGTATTGGTTGTTCACTAAGCAGAATCCAGATGCGACTTATCCCTTCTTGTGCTACTCTATCAGGCGGGAATTCGGTACCTTAAAAAGTGAGCATGAAATCATGATGGAGATCTCAATGCGTCGACAGAAGGCTAATGAATCGTATGTTACGTTTCATACAGATATGTTAGCCTTGAACGGGAGACTAAGGGAGCCGATGTCGGAGAACCTTCTGATGGACATATTGAAGAGGAACGTTAACAGCTGCCTGAAATTGATGCTCTTCAATGCTGGTGCGCAAACTTTACATGACTTACGCGACGTTGCTAGGAAAGGCGAACAGATCCTGAAGGAAACCAGGAGCTTGGTACCGAACTATTCAGGACGGCATGTCAACGAAACCTTGGCTATCACACCGGATGAATGGACAGGAGGAATAGATGGAGAAATGGATCCACAAGTGGAAGCGCTAAATTTCCAGAGGACTAGGAAACCGGACTACTCAGGAATACAGTGCTAGAACTGTGACAAGATGGGACACTCATACATCTATTGCGAGGAAGCGATGCGGAACGTGTTCTGCTTCAAGTGTGGACAGAAGGGGGTGGTCACTCCAAGATGCCCCAGAGATCATCGGAGGCAGGCAAACCGGAACCCGAGCGAGAAGGCAATCGGGGATTCTCGTTCGGCCCCCTAGCCCCCTAAGCAGGGAGTACAGGAGCAACCGCCTCCTGTACTAAACCGAAAAGTAAGTCAGCCTCAGCCAGAACCGTTCGTTTGCATGGAGATGTCAGTAGTTCGGAGAGTAATACCAGTCCCTCGAGGGTTTCACCACGGGTCATCATAACTTTCCCAGATAGTTCCGATAGTTCTGATTCCGAGTGTAGGTTTTCTTCTACAGCCAATCCTCTCCAGGTTCGAATTCTTAGGCCTTCACGTAGGAATGTGGCATGCCAGACTCAATTCCCAGTTAGTTTAGAGAAAAGAGAACAGGATTATGAACGGATAAGGGCGGATATTTTCAAAGAGCAACCAAAATTTTTAGTTTCTGAAAATATTCTACTTTTGCAAAGCACTAAAATTCTTATAACGCCAGATGAGAGAACGCTAGCAAAGATTAAAATACACGATAGTTTCATAGTGGGTTTATTGGATTCCGGAGCAAACGTTTCCATTCTTGGAAACGGATGTGAAGAATTCCTAAAGAAAACAACTTAAAATATCATTCTTTGCGCGCTCTTGTCTACACAGCTGGTGGCAATCAGCAGAAAATACTCGGCTCGATATCTTTACCGGTCACTTTTAAAAATATTANGCTCGATATCTTTACCGGTTACTTTTAAAAATATTACGAGGACTATTCGCTTTTATCTTGTACCGTCATTAATCCAAGAAGCATACCTGGGAGTTGATTTCTGGAAAGCATTTGCGTTAGCACCCGATGTATTTCCAACCGTTTCTTGTTTAGATTTTCCAAATGAGGATGAGCCAAACTTCCGTCAGCTCACACCAGATCAGAAGATAGCATTGCAAGGAGTTGTTCAGGAGTTGCCCTCGTTCGAAAAGCTAGGACTAGGTCAAACCAATTTAGTGACGCACCATATAGACACGGGTGATGCGGTGCCAATTAAAAGTAAGCACTTTCCTCTTTCACCACCCAGGCATGCGGAAGCCTATAGCGAAATTGAAAGGCTACTCAAGATGGGAGTGATTGAGGGATCGAAATCACCATGGTGTAGTCCAGTGGTACTAGTCCGGAAACCAGGCAAAGTCAGGCTGTGCATAGATTCCAGGAAGGTGAACGCGGTCACCAAGAAGTACTCGTATCCGTTGCCCCATATTAATGGGTTGTTGAGCAGGTTAAAGGACACATACTTTATAAGTGGTATTGATTTGAAGGATGCTTTCTTTCAAATCAAATTAACGGAATCGTCTAAGGAAAAGGCGGCATTTGCGGTTCCAGGAAAGCCATTGTACCACTTTAAAGTAATGCCCTTTTGCCTGTGCAACGGTCCACAAACAATGAGTCGGCTGATGGATAAGGCTTTTCCTTCACGGTTACGAGAGAACGTCTTCGTCTACCTGGATGATCTGATGGTGTGCAGCTCAAACTTTGAAGACCATTTGGAATTGCTGAGCGAAGTGGCGAAATGCTTACGCGAAGCGGGACTTACAATCAACGTGAAGAATAGCAAGTTCTGCCGGAAGGAAATTCGGTATCTCGGGTACTTGATAGGGAATGGCTGTTTGAAAGTAGACCCGGGCAAAATAGAAGCCATAAACGATTTTCCGATTCCCAAGTCTCCTCGTCAGGTTCGCAAGTTTATAGGAATGGCAAATTGGTACAGGTCGTTTATTACCAACTTTGCAGATTTGGCTGGTCCAATGACAGATTGCCTTCGAAAGTCAGCTGGTCCATTTAAGTTAACTCCTGAGGCAGTGGAAGCATTTGGAAAGCTTAAAGTTGCACTCTGTTCAGCACCTGTACTGGCACAACCAGATTTTTCTAAAGAACTCGTGATACAATGTGATGCATCCAAAATAGGAGTAGGAGGCGTGTTATTCCAGCTCGATGAGGAAGGAGCAGAGCATCCCATATATTTTGTATCGAAGAAGCTTAATAATGCTCAGCAAAATTATACGGTCACCGAGCTGGAATGCCTTGCCGCAATAGTTAGCGTCAAACGTTTCAGACCATATATTGAAGGATTGCCTTTCCGAATAATTACTGACCATTCAAGTCTCAAGTGGCTAATGACACAAAAAGACTTGAGTGGCAGGCTGGCAAGATGGTCGTTTCTATTGCAACGATACAACTTTAGGATGGAGCATCGCAAAGGATCATTGAATGATGTGCCGGACACCATTTCGCGTTTTGACGTGGACGAATTGTCTTCTACCCCACCTCTGGAAATTGACTTGGCATCACCGGAATTCGACGGCGCAGAGTACTCGGAGCTTCGTGAAAGAATTAAAAACAATCAAGAAGATTCCATTGCTAGTTACCATGGAGGTTGGCAGAAGACTTTAGAGCGTGTTCGGCAGAAATATATCTTTGGCCGCAAATGGCAAAGGACATACGCCTCTATGTAAACCGTTGCGAAACCTGCAAAGCCGTGAAAGCCACAAATCACGTGTCCATCCCACCTATGGGCAATGCCTTCGTATCCGAGAGGCCATTCCAGCGTCTTTATTGCGACTTCTTAGGACCATATCCAGGATCAAAGCGAAGAAACCAGTTTTTGTTTATAGTGCTAGACCATTTTTCCAAATACGTATTTTTGAAGGCGATGCAGAACGCGACGTCGGCAAACGTAATTAGCTTCTTTAGTACAGAGATTTTTCCTGGTTTCGGGGTCCCTCAATTCGTCCATAGTGATAACGGGAAGCAATTCATTTCGAAGGAGTTGCAGCAGTTTTTTGAAAACTACGGGGTTGTTCACATTAAGACGGGGTTATACTCAAAGCAGGCTAACGCCTCTGAACCCGTGAACAGAGAGATTGTTTCGAAAGTTAGAATCCTCCTGAAGGACAAGCAAGATCACATGGACTGGGACAAACATATACCCGAAATTCTGCCAGTTTTAAGAAGCGATTACCATACGTCGATTCAGAGTTCGCCATACTACGCCTTATTTGGACAAAATATGATACAACATGCGTCAGCCTATAACATCCTGGAGAAACTTGTTAGCCTAGGACAAGACGAGGTCCCAATTACAAGCAGAGCTGATAAGCTAGCAAACATTCGCGAACACATACGAAAGAACCTTGAGCTAGCGCAAGACAGAGCAGCGAACACGTACAACAAACGTACGCGGGTTGTGAATTACCGGGAAGGACAAGAAGTATTCCGGAAAAACTTCGCTCTTAGCAATTTTTAGCAAGGCATAAATGCTAAACTCTTGCCTAAATATATCAAGTATCGTGTTCTGCGAAAGGTAGGCAATGCTTTGTACGATTTAGAGGACTTGAATGGCAAACCGATCGGTAGGTTCCATGCATCTGACATCCGGCCGTGACAATGTCATCTGTCACGAAGAGCGATCCGAAAGTAAAGTAGTTTTTTTTAAATTAATAATCACGTTTTTTCTAAAATTTTTATATATACACGTTTTTTCCAATATTAATCTTAGCGATAGGGTAAAACCTTGACCGCCCGCAGACTGCCCGGGGTCCAACCTTGCATGGCTTTTCCTCGAAGCTAAGTCATGTAGGGCTGTAACTCGCTTCTGTAACTCTTCCCTACCAATTATTTCTCTGCGTGTAGAGAATATACGTCATTCTCTACCACTCATTAGACAGAGAACAAGGCGTCATATATGAATTCGCCCAGGTAGAGAATCGGGACAGAACTGAGCTACTGGACTAGCGGAGGGGCCGTACTGTGAGAACCGACTAAGTTCGGCAATGGGGGGTGGCTAACTCTAGCCAACGAAAGTAAATAGAGTATCTTTTTTTCTCTTACTGTCCTTTTCACAGGGCGCTTTGGTACAAACCGCCCAGTATCCTCCCCGAGCATCTATATTCATAGGACGTTCACGCGCGCTCCCACCGGGAGTCTTGAACTGCCTGACAATCCGCACTCCCATTAGGATTGTCTTTTAGGAGTTTTGACGAGTTCTCCTTATCAAAATGTCTAATGTTTTCGGAGTTTTGACGAGCTCTCCTTATCAAAATGTCTAATGCCTTTCGGAGTTTTGACGAGTTCTCCTTTAAGAAAATGTCTCTTGGGCCGCAAAGCCATAATGAATAGGAAACAAAATAAATATATACACGTTTTCCCAGCCGCCGGACGGCTATAAACTCGCGGCCAAGTGTCCTTTTTAGGACAACCTGCCTTGTGTTCTTCTTAGCGGAGTTGAACTAGTGGGGGGCAAGGTGTAAAGACCGACTAAGTTCGGCACCTTGGGGGGTAGGCTTCTCTGGCCTAAAACAATAGAGAACCACCGCAACACCGGACTTGATTATTTTTTCAGAGTTTACTCGGTATAATTCTGACTCAAGCATTTCGAAATGAACGCTAATTCGACCCATACTTAGTCACAACTGGGATTGAGTTCCGAGTCTAGTATGCTAAGCAAACTCTGACCTAACTTTTGTTTTTCTGCCGGAATTACGAAAACCACCTTGACTTACCGAAACCCGGAATTGAACATTTTAAAACATTAAATTCATTGATAGCAAACACAAGAATGTTAGGAGCCGACTCAGTACTGACTAAATCCGTAGACGTATTGTTCCAGAGACCGGCCACACAATAACGAGTCCGCCCAGCATTGCAAGCGAATGCTGACGCGGAATACAGGAAATGCGTTGACTTCGGTACTTTCGTAACATCAATCTTAACTTTTAGACTACCCATACTGAGTCGGACGAACCCTAACTGCCACCTGACGTAACTAAGGGGTGTTATTATTTTGCCCGGCTAAAGACTTATTTTTTTGAGACTCTATATCTCAGGGGTGAGTAGTGCCCCACGTTCTTCTGATTTTACCACCTAATCTCTTGCCAGACGCCTTGCGAAGACAGTTAACCCTTCCTGTTCACTTCTGTGACGAGTCGTGAAGTGAAGCAGGTTTGTTATGGGTTACTGTTTGCCGCACAGAAATCTAAATATTTTATTCTTCGGCGTATAGTGCACCCGGTAACGTGTCAGAAAAATTCACCATTTAATATTGTCCAGAGTGTACGGCGACGCTAAAACTGCCAATGAGACTCTACCATCTTGACAATTCTTGGCGGGGTTGCCACTACAGGTAACATTGCGGCCAGGACATAAAAAGAGCAAAAGCGGAAAAGAGAAGACGGCACCTTTTAGACAAGCCACACTAGAGGACTATTACGTGGCAGGATTTCATTGGCGGCGCGAACTGCTGTTATAAACTTTCCGCGAAACTGCCGTTACAAAAATCACGCGAGACTCCCGTTACCAAATTGCGCGTGATATAGAGATGGCCCCTTGGCCCAAAAATCGATATGTAATGCAGCGCTCAGTATAACTAAAACTTTTAACAAAATCATTTTCCCTTTTCCTAACAGACAATTATTAATTTCTTCTCAAAAGTTTCCGATATCATTCCAGCCGATTTTTAGAATACTTAGCATAGGTAGAGCCTTGTTAGCATTCTCTCAAACTAAGCTTTTCAACAATAGTCGATAAAGACAGTAAATAAAATGTAACATTAGGTTTCCTGAAATAAAAATAACTAATTAATAAGTTTTGACGCCCTTATCTACATTTACCATTGCGTAAATCGGTTATGTAAATTTCAAAATCCACCTATGCATCCCCAACTTGCTTATAAAATCTAAGAAATAAACAAATTAACCCAATCGGCCTGCATGACATATCGATAACATGCCATCAATGCTACTGCGCAAGTTGCGAGGGTATAAAAACCTGCTGGCAACCCCACAGTCGGCCATTAGCAAAATCGTTTTGATGAACTCGCGCCAGTCATATAGCGAAACAAACCAAGAATTTACAGACATATTTTAAAAAGGAAAAGTTTGAACAAAATAAAAAGAATTTATTAAAAATAATTAAAAAGAATAGGAACACAAGTGCGAGTGAAGTGAAGAAAATGGCGAAGAAAAGAAAACCCTACAGTGATCAGTGAAGTGAAAAAAAGGAAAAAAAAACTTGACTAAAATAAGCCCACTGGGTGGAGGGCACCCCACACCATAATCCAGTACCCAAACCGTACGGAAGGCTCAGCTACAGAGCCCCATCACCACCTACGAGCACCAATCTCGCCAAACGACAACCAGCACCATCCACAGCAGCCGCAATCAAGGTAAGTCTTCTTTAATACAAATAACCATAAGTAGTGTAATGGGCTGTTTTTGCTTACGCGTAAATGTACATTTAGCGCATTTAGCTCTAAATGCTACTCTAAATGTACATTTATCCATACAAAATTCGTCATCTAAATGCACCTAAATGCAACTCAATCTTTGCATTAAGAATCTAAATGCTAAAAGCAACCCTGCGTTCTTCGAAGATTCGAACAAGATTTAATGAAAAAGAGTGGCAATACCGCTTGTTTCTGTGTACATACATAAATATTTGTTGACATTTTGTTTTGCTGATACATACATATTTGTTGATAGTTTTTTCCTGTGTGCGCTTAAATTAATAAATATTGACAATAAAAAATTAAGCGATCGCGAAATCTTTGGACCGCAGATGCAGAGGAGGTATTTGTGATGTTGTGGCAACAAAAAGTGGATGACTTGAGGGGGCCCAGAAAAAACAGCCATGTCTATCAGGAGATGGCGGCAGAAATGCAGATGCAAGGATATGATGTCAATTCCTCATCTGTCAAAATTAAGATTGACAATTTGACGGCAAAATATAGGTAAAAAAATAAAGTTATAAAAAATATTTATTCCTGTAATGTTCTTTTCATAGGAAGGCCAAGGCAGGTATGGGGACGACTGGAGGCTCACCTGCTTCTTGGCATTTATTTGAGCAGGTGCACCAAATAATTGGTGGCTTCTCCATCAATAACGTGGAAGAGCTGATAGAAGAGAGTTTTGAAGGTAATTGCTAGTTATTCAATTTACATGATTAAAATTGTAGGCATATTCAAAATCATTTTTATTATTAAAAACTAATCTATATACATAAATTCAAAATACTCATTTTCAGATTCGATGTCATCATCCCCGACAAATATCTCGCCGCTTTCTCCTTCTCTTCCCCAGCTGTCGCCATCACCGTCGTGTTCATCACCACTGCCGTCAGGATCGGGAGGGGCAACACTTCCCCCATCAATATCAAGCGCAGCAACATCTACCAGATCTGGAAAACAAAAACAGATGGATCGATTAGTGACGATTTGTGAGGGTATCCAAAGCAATTTTTCGGAGGCTATGGAAAAATTCACAAAATCGAACGATGAATTGGTCGAAATAGAAAAGGCAAAGCTAGTCGCAATGCAGGAACTGCAGAGGGATGCAAGAAGGCTGACGGATGGACTACTTTATTTTTTAAATAGATTTTAAGGAAATAGTATGTAGAAATTAGACTGAATTATTTTGTTTTTATTTTTGAAGTAGATATTAAGGAAATAGTATATAAGGTTTTGAGAATTGCACTGAATTATTTTGTTTACATTTTTGAAGTAGATTTTAAGTATATAGATTTTAAGGAATTAGTAAGTAAGGTTTTGAGAATTGGACTGAATTGTTTTGTTTACATTTTTGAAGTAGATTTTAAGTATATAGAAAGTAAGATTTTGTGAACTGAAGTGCTTGGATTTGAAATTGTGATAACATTTTGCTAGAGTACCTTTTTCCTTTTTTAAAACTAAAAGTTTTTTTTTTTACTTCGCGTCAAGATAAAAAGACATGAACTGAAATAAACGTGATATTAACTTACTGTAATATGAACAGAACGCATTCCTTATTGATTCCGCTTCTGCTAAGGTTTGGTGCGAGTCCACGGATTGTGGTTGTCTTCTCCTAATATCATTAGCGTGCTGCTCGTTAAGCCAAGAAGGTATAACTAGGTCATTTTCTGCTATTAAAAAGTTGTGCTAGGCACAACAAGCCTTTATAATAGAATTTGCATTATCAATTCTGTTATCAATTCCTTTTCCGATCCGGCGAAACCTAAATTTGTATACATATATGTTAAAATAATAAGTGTATCCCACTGGGAAAATAAGTAAGCACCTTACGAGGTAAGCCATGTTTTCTTCCAGTTTTTAGTACCAAAATTGTCATCAATGCACATGCCACCGACTAGTAAAGCACAAAATGAACACTTCTGACGACACATTACTTTGTCAGTTGCAAAATAACTTGCAGGCGAAATTATTTCCAAGCGCCGAACTACTCCGAGCGACTGCTCTGCATTATGCGTAACTTACTTGGTAAAGCGACTCAGAGGTATGTCTGATACCAAATGTACATTGGAAATTCCTACTTACATAAGGCGGCCACGTCTTTGTTAAACTAAGGAAGATTCGTCAGTGAAGTCGTAAGGACCGCCGGGTGAAGTGTAAGTTGCGGTAAGGTATTGCCCTTCACCCGGCGGTCCTTACTACTTCCCTGCCGAATCTCCATTACTTTAACAAAGACGTGGCCGCCTAATGTAAGTAGGAATTTAGAATCTACATTTGGTATCAGACATACCTCTGAGCTGCTTTACAAAGTATGTTACGCATAATGCAGAGCAGTCGCTCGTAGTAGTTCGGCGCTTGGAAATAACTTCGGCTGCACGTTATTTTGCAACTGACAACTTAATGTGTCGTAGGAGGTGTTCATTTTGCGCTTTACTAGTAGATGACATTGGCCGTGATTACAATTTTGGTACTAAAAACTGAAGGAAACCATGGCTTACCTCGTAAGATGCTTACCTATTTTCCCAGTGGGATTTAACGACCAATTCTATATTTACTTAATTACCTTGCTTTCAATTGCCCAAAAGCATTTTTAACCAGTCTACGAGATTTTGAAAGTTGGTAATTGAAAGCTTTTTGTGCAGGCGTCGTATCCAAACTGAATGGAAAAGGCTTCATTAAATATTTGGAAAAACGAAAGGCAGAATCTCCAAGAATGACAACTGGGATGTCAAAATTTCCTAAATTTGTACTCATTGTGTTCAGAAGTGAGCAGTTCTCCGGTTCCCTTTTTAAGCTGGACTTTTCAAAGATTTGGGAGTCATTACATCTTCCTGGACTTCCCACGTTGATGTATAAAAAACGATATCTTTAAAAGAAAAGAAATAGTTATGCGGTATGTAATTTACATTCGGATGAATATGCATATACGCAAAATAGAATATCTAAAAAATTTCATACTGGGTACCTTGCATCAACAAGTGCTAGTAACACTGTAGAATACCATCCTTTATATATAATCCACTGCTTCTTCCTGTCTGGGATGAATTTCTATGTGGCATCCATCTGAAAAATATATTCGCTACTTAGTTGGGTAAAAATAATAATTTTAAGGGCTTACCAAGAGCACCCATACACTTTGGGAATCCAATGTGTTTAAACCCATTAACACAGTCTTCAATTGTTTCTCTACTTAGGGGAAAGTGGTTGAAATACATTGGGTGTAACACTTTCCACACTTCCCTACAAAATTCCAAGAGAGCTGCGCATACTGTTGATTTGGCCACTCCAAACAAGTTCGCAATGCTACGATATTCCGCTGAGGACCCAAGAGCATATAGGGCGATGGCAACTCGTTTCTCCAAGCAGATGGTATTATGGAATCTTGTTTCCTTTCTCTTTAGGTGATCCAGAAAACTGCATAATTCTTTAAAAGCACTGCTATTCAGTCTAAAACTTTGTCTGAAGTTATTATCTCCAGAGCATTGGCACTCGACTTCCCAAAACGTACTTCCTCGATTATGTTAAACGTTGGATAAGTATACTAGCTTATACCCGCGGGTTTCACCCCGCGCTTTTATACAAATAGGAAAAATAATTTAATGATATCTATTTTTTGGTTCCGATCGGTTCGTATTTATGTTTTTTAAATTTTAATATTTTAATAGGCTTGTCCGATCTTGCATCCTTTAGTGCAAATAAAACAAAGTTATTCCACTATTGTTGCCCAACGTTTCGCTAAACTCATTAGCATCTTCAGGGGCTGGTTGTTTATTTTCACTGTGTCAACAATAAGTACAAAAATTACAAATATTACAAATATGCATTAACGTTGGACAAAAATTACAGAAGGAACATACATGTATGACGTGCATATGAACATAAAAATGGCAAATGAATTATACTATTTTACTACTTACAGAAATTTCAATTTTAACATATTTAATTAAACTTAATTTTACTTCGGTACCATCTATTGTGGTAGTCTTGTCAATACTGGTAATTGCTAAAATTCGGCATAAACATAAAATGTATGCAGCAGCATACCCATTTCGTTATAGCTCGTTATTTTTTAAGCGAGTTAAGATATCAAAATGTCTAATGCCTTTCGGAGTTTTGACGAGTTCTCCTTTAAGAAAATGTCTCTTGGGCCGCAAAGCCATAATGAATAGGAAACAAAATAAATATATACACGTTTTCCCAGCCGCCGGACGGCTATAAACTCGCGGCCAAGTGTCCTTTTCAGGACAGCCTGCCTTGTGTTCTTCTTAGCGGAGTTGAACTAGTGGGGGGCAAGGTGTAAAGACCGACTAAGTTCGGCACCTTGGGGGTAGGCTTCTCTGGCCTAAAACAATAGAGAACCACCGCAACACCGGACTTGATTTTTTTTTCAGAGTTTACTCGGTATAATTCTGACTCAAGCATTTCGAAATGAACGCTAATTCGACCCATACTTAGTCACAACGGGGATTGAGTTCCGAGTCTAGCATGCTAAGCAAACTCTGACCTAACTTTTAGGTTTTCTGCCGGAATTACGAAAACCACCTTGACTTACCGAAACCCGGAATTGAACATTTTAAAACATTAAATTCATTGATAGCAAACACAAGAATGTTAGGAGCCGACTCAGTACTGACTAAATCCGTAGACGTATTGTTCCAGAGACCGGCCACACAATAACGAGTCCGCCCAGCATTGCAAGCGAATGCTGACGCGGAATACAGGAAATGCGTTGACTTCGGTACTTTCGTAACATCAATCTTAACTTTTAGACTACCCATACTGAGTCGGACGAACCCTAACTGCCACCTGACGTGTTATTATTTTGCCCGGCTAAAGACTTATTTTTTTGAGACTCTATATCTCAGGGGTGAGTAGTGCCCCACGTTCTTCTGATTTTACCACCTAATCTCTTGCCGGACGCCTTGCGAAGACAGTTAACCCTTCCTGTTCACTTCTGTGACGAGTCGTGAAGTGAAGCAGGTTTGTTATGGGTTACTGTTTGCCGCACAGAAATCTAAATATTTTATTCTTCGGCGTATAGTGCACCCGGTAACGTGTCAGAAAAATTCACCATTTAATATTGTCCAGAGTGTAAAACGCTAAAACTGCCAATGAGTCTCTGTCATCTTGACAATTCTTGGCGGGGTTGCCACTACAGGTAACATTGCGGCCAGGACATAAAAAGAGCAAAAGCGGAAAAGAGAAGACGGCACCTTTTAGACAAGCCACACTAGAGGACTATTACGTGGCAGGATTTCATTGGCGGCGCGAACTGCTGTTATAAACTTTCCGCGAAACTGCCGTTACAAAAATCACGCGAGACTCCCGTTACCAAATTGCGCGTGATATAGAGATGGCCCCTTGGCCCAAAAATCGATATGTAATGCAGCGCTCAGTATAACTAAAATTTTTAACAAAATCATTTTCCCTTTTCCTAACAGACAATTATTAATTTCTTCTCAAAAGTTTCCGATATCATTCCAGCCGATTTTTAGAATACTTAGCATAGGTAGAGCCTTGTTAGCATTCTCTCAAACTAAGCTTTTCAACAATAGTCGATAAAGACAGTAAATAAAATGTAACATTAGGTTTCCTGAAATAAAAATAACTAATTAATAAGTTTTGACGCCCTTATCTACATTTACCATTGCGTAAATCGGTTATGTAAATATCAAAATCCACCTATGCATCCCCAACTTGCTTATAAAATCTAAGAAATAAACAAATTAACCCAATTGGCCTGCATGACATATCGATAACATGCCATCAATGCTACTGCGCAAGTTGCGAGGGTATAAAAACCTGCTGGCAACCCCACAGTCGGCCATTAGCAAAATCGTTTTGATGAACTCGCGCCAGTCATATAGCTAAACAAACCAAGAATTTACAGACATATTTTAAAAAGGAAAAGTTTGAACAAAATAAAAAGAATTCATTAAAAATAATTAAAAAGAATAGGAACACAAGTGCTAGTGAAGTGAAGAAAAGGCGAAGAAAAGAAAACCCTACAGTGATCAGTGGAGTGAAAAAAAGGAAAAAAAAACTTGACTAGAATAAGCCCACTGGGTGGAGGGCACCCCACATCATAATCCAGTACCCAAACCGTACGGAAGGCTCAGCTACAGAGCCCCATCACCACCTACGAGCACCAATCTCGCCAAACGACAACCAGCACCATCCACAGCAGCCGCAATCAAGGTAAGTCTTCTTTAATACAAATAACCATAAGTAGTGTAATGGGCTGTTTTTGCTTACGCGTAAATGTACATTTAGCGCATTTAGCTCTAAATGCTACTCTAAATGTACATTTATCCATACAAAATTCGTCATCTAAATGCACCTAAATGCAACTCAATCTTTGCATTAAGAATCTAAATGCTAAAAGCAACCCTGCGTTATTCGAAGATTCGAACAAGATTTAATGAAAAAGAGTGGCAATACCGCTTGTTTCTGTGTACATACATAAATATTTGTTGACATTTTGTTTTGCTGATACATACATATTTGTTGATAGTTTTTTCCTGTGTGCGCTTAAATTAATAAATATTGACAATAAAAAATTAAGCGATCGCGAAATCTTTGGACCGCAGATGCAGAGGAGGTATTTGTGATGTTGTGGCAACAAAAAGTGGATGACTTGAGGGGGCCCAGAAAAAACAGCCATGTCTATCAGGAGATGGCGGCAGAAATGCAGATGCAAGGATATGATGTCAATTCCTCATCTGTAAAAATTAAGATTGACAATTTGACGGCAAAATATAGGTAACTATAGTCATTCCAAAGTTATAAAAAATATTTATTCCTGTAATGTTCTTTTCATAGGAAGGCCAAGGCAGGTATGGGGACGACTGGAGGCTCAGCTGCTTCTTGGCATTTATTTGAGCAGGTGCACCAAATAATTGGTGGCTTCTCCATCAATAACGTGGAAGAGCTGATAGAAGAGAGTTTTGAAGGTAATTGCTAGTTATTCAATTTACATGATTAAAATTGTAGGCATATTCAAAATCATTTTTATTATTAAAAACTAATCTATATACATAAATTCAAAATACTCATTTTCAGATTCGATGTCATCATCCCCGACAAATATCTCGCCGCTTTCTCCTTCTCTTCCCCAGCTGTCGCCATCACCGTCGTGTTCATCACCACTGCCGTCAGGATCGGGAGGGGCAACACTTCCCCCATCAATATCAAGCGCAGCAACATCTACCAGATCTGGAAAACAAAAACAGATGGATCGATTAGTGACGATTTGTGAGGGTATCCAAAGCAATTTTTCGGAGGCTATGGAAAAATTCACAAAATCGAACGATGAATTGGTCGAAATAGAAAAGGCAAAGCTAGTCGCAATGCAAGAACTGCAGAGGGACGCAAGAAGGCTGACGGATGGAGTACTTGATTTTTTAAATAGATTTTAAGGAAATAGTATGTAGAAATTAGGCTGAATTATTTTGTTTTTATTTTTGAAGCAGATATTAAGGAAATAGTATATAAGGTTTTGAGAATTGCACTGAATTATTTTGTTTACATTTTTGAAGTAGATTTTAAGTATATAGATTTTAAGGAATTAGTAAGTAAGGTTTTGAGAATTGGACTGAATTGTTTTGTTTACATTTTTGAAGTAGATTTTAAGTATATAGAAAGTAAGATTTTGTGAACTGAAGTGCTTGGATTTGAAATTGTGATAACATTTTGCTAGAGTACCTTTTTCCTTTTTTAAAACTAAAAGTTTTTTTTTTACTTCGCGTCAAGATAAAAAGACATGAACTGAAATAAACGTGATATTAACTTACTTAAATATGAACAGAACGCATTCCTTATTGATTCCGCTTCTGCTAAGGTTTGGTGCGAGTCCACGGATTGTGGTTGTCTTCTCCTAATATCATTAGCGTGCTGCTCGTTAAGCCAAGAAGGTATAACTAGGTCATTTTCTGCTATTAAAAAGTTGTGCTAGGCACAACAAGCCTTTATAATAGAATTTGCATTATCAATTCTGTTATCAATTCCTTTTCCGATCCGGCGAAACCTAAATTTGTATACATATATGTTAAAATAATAAGTGTATCCCACTGGGAAAATAAGTAAGCACCTTACGAGGTAAGCCATGTTTTCTTCCAGTTTTTAGTACCAAAATTGTCATCAATGCACATGCCACCGACTAGTAAAGCACAAAATGAACACTTCTGACGACACATTACTTTGTCAGTTGCAAAATAACTTGCAGGCGAAATTATTTCCAAGCGCCGAACTACTCCGAGCGACTGCTCTGCATTATGCGTAACTTACTTGGTAAAGCGACTCAGAGGTATGTCTGATACCAAATGTACATTGGAAATTCCTACTTACATAAGGCGGCCACGTCTTTGTTAAACTAAGGAAGATTCGTCAGTGAAGTCGTAAGGACCGCCGGGTGAAGTGTAAGTTGCGGTAAGGTATTGCCCTTCACCCGGCGGTCCTTACTACTTCCCTGCCGAATCTCCATTACTTTAACAAAGACGTGGCCGCCTAATGTAAGTAGGAATTTAGAATCTACATTTGGTATCAGACATACCTCTGAGCTGCTTTACAAAGTATGTTACGCATAATGCAGAGCAGTCGCTCGTAGTAGTTCGGCGCTTGGAAATAACTTCGGCTGCACGTTATTTTGCAACTGACAACTTAATGTGTCGTAGGAGGTGTTCATTTTGCGCTTTACTAGTAGATGACATTGGCCGTGATTACAATTTTGGTACTAAAAACTGAAGGAAACCATGGCTTACCTCGTAAGATGCTTACCTATTTTCCCAGTGGGATTTAACGACCAATTCTATATTTACTTAATTACCTTGCTTTCAATTGCCCAAAAGCATTTTTAACCAGTCTACGAGATTTTGAAAGTTGGTAATTGAAAGCTTTTTGTGCAGGCGTCGTATCCAAACTGAATGGAAAATGCTTCATTAAATATTTGGAAAAACGAAAGGCAGAGTCTCCAAGAATGACAACTGGGATGTCAAAATTTCCTAAATTTGTACTCATTGTGTTCAGAAGTGAGCAGTTCTCCGGTTCCCTTTTTAAGCTGGACTTTTCAAAGATTTGGGAGTCATTACATCTTCCTGGACTTCCCACGTTGATGTATAAAAAACGATATCTTTAAAAGAAAAGAAATAGTTATGCGGTATGTAATTTACATTCGGATGAATATGCATATACGCAAAATAGAATATCTAAAAAATTTCATACTGGGTACCTTGCATCAACAAGTGCTAGTAACACTGTAGAATACCATCCTTTATATATAATCCACTGCTTCTTCCTGTCTGGGATGAATTTCTATGTGGCATCCATCTGAAAAATATATTCGCTACTTAGTTGGGTAAAAATAATAATTTTAAGGGCTTACCAAGAGCACCCATACACTTTGGGAATCCAATGTGTTTAAACCCATTAACACAGTCTTCAATTGTTTCTCTACTTAGGGGAAAGTGGTTGAAATACATTGGGTGTAACACTTTCCACACTTCCCTACAAAATTCCAAGAGAGCTGCGCATACTGTTGATTTGGCCACTCCAAACAAGTTCGCAATGCTACGATATTCCGCTGAGGACCCAAGAGCATATAGGGCGATGGCAACTCGTTTCTCCAAGCAGATGGTATTATGGAATCTTGTTTCCTTTCTCTTTAGGTGATCCAGAAAACTGCATAATTTTTTAAAAGCACTTCTATTCAGTCTAAAACTTTGTCTGAAGTTATTATCTCCAGAGCATTGGCACTCGACTTCCCAAAACGTACTTCCTCGATTATGTTAAACGTTGGATAAGTATACTAGCTTATACCCGCGGGTTTCACCCCGCGCTTTTATACAAATAGGAAAAATAATTTAATGATATCTATTTTTTGGTTCCGATCGGTTCGTATTTATGTTTTTTAAATTTTAATATTTTAATAGGCTTGTCCGATCTTGCATCCTTTAGTGCAAATAAAACAAAGTTATTCCACTATTGTTGCCCAACGTTTCGCTAAACTCATTAGCATCTTCAGGGGCTGGTTGTTTATTTTCACTGTGTCAACAATAAGTACAAAAATTACAAATATTACAAATATGCGATAACGTTGGACAAAAATTACAGAAGGAACATACATGTATGACGTGCATATGAACATAAAAATGGCAAATGAATTATACTATTTTACTACTTACAGAAATTTCTATTTTAACATATTTAATTAAACTTAATTTGACTTCGGTACCATCTATTGTGGTAGTCTTGTCAATACTGGTAATTGCTAAAATTCGGCATAAACATAAAATGTATGCAGCAGCATACCCATTTCGTTATAGCTCGTTATTTTTTAAGCGAGTTAAGATATTTGGGCCGTTTAAAACTATGAAATTATAAAATCTCGTCTGCGCGCTAGGCATACGAAATGTATCAATCCCTCTAAGTTGACCTTAAAATGTTTCCAGGTATACGACGCGTGAACGTGTAACCTTCTTGGAGGTGCCACGGCGAGTTCTAATATTTCCAACTCAAATTTAGTAACCTGGCCTTGATAAAATACCACTTCTCATTACTGTAGCAAATGCCTCAAGAGAGCTTTAGATTATAAGGCCGAACCCGGCTCTCCCTTTTCCATTTAATGAAATTTATTCTGTCTTCCACAAACACTTTCAGGGATATGTGGCAAGAAAAAGTAAACTTTTACTGGAAGTGCCACGCCCCTTTTTCTTATAACCCTAATCTTCTTCCATGAATTTAGAATTGATTTTACATACCCCAGTACCAAGTCCCAGTACTCTACCATGAACACCTCTAGAGATAAGCAGTATAAAACAGTAAATTTGTACGGCAGGAAACATGTCCCCTTTTCGAATAACGCAAATTCTTCTCTATGAGTATGGAATTAATTTTGTATACACATCTCGGTGCCAAGTTCCAGTCCTCTGCAATAAACACCTCCAGAGATATGCAGCATAGAAAAATCAATTTGCATGGGAGTTGCCACACCACCTTTTCCAATAACTCTCATTTTTCTCCATGAGTATGGTATTAGTTTCACATACATACATACATATGTATTTCCATACCAAGCTTGAGTGCTTTACCCCAAACATTTGAAGAGATATGCAATATGAAACTTTCAGTCAGTATGGGAGGTGCTACGCCTCTTTTCCAAAAACGTCCATTTTTCTCCGTGAATATGAACATGATTTCACACAGTGTTGGCAAACTGTTAATCTGATTAACGATTAAAAATTAACGATTAAAATGTTAATCGCGTTTGACGATTAAAATTAATTAGTCGTAATCAACTGTACGATTAATGATAACATTTTTTTAATCGTTAATCGCTGGCTGCGATTACGTTTAATTAATTTAAAACATTAATCGTTAATCCAATTAAAAATAAAATCTGATTAATTTGTCTAGTTTGTCCGAGTTTGAAACCAAACACCAGTTATAGTAATTATTTTGTGTTTTACGCTTATAAAAAGCACGTAATATAAAAAAATAATAATTATTGTTATTAGTAATACATAAACTGGGAACTTTTACAAACCTAGTTTGTAAAACGTTTGTTGGTATATATCTTAATGAAAATGCACACCAAATTGCTTAGATTGATGAGGAAACCCGACTTAGCCATACTGGATTAACTTGCTTTGTGTGCACAGGAAAATTCCAGCATAACTTAATTAATCACCAAACCTACTTGATCAAATTAAGAGTTAATGATTAAAAATTAATTTTTTAATCGCGGTAAGGTTAACTGTTTAGTCGGATTAAAATTAATCATGATTAACTGTAATCAGATTGAATTTAATCGAATTAACTAACTAATTAAAACATCAATCGATTAATGCCAACATTGATTTCACATACATATCACTATACCAAGTTTCAGTTCTCTCCCACAAATACTTCCAGAGATATGTATGTAATATGAAAATTCCAATTTGTATGGGAGGGGCCTTGAGTTATCGGACTTACTTTCAGTCTAAGACCATCCTTCCGAAATCCGTAGTAAGTGTACTAAATTTCGTTCTGATCGGAAAACCGGTTAAGGAAGTAGCCTATTTTTCAATCCAGGTCATAAACCATCTTTGAGCAAAATTTAATTTTCAAACAGGTGGCAATTCTTAAAAAAGTAGCCTATTTTCCAGTCTAGGTCATAAGCTATCTGTGTGCATACTTTCATGCAAATCAGTTCAGTCATTTCCACGTATTAATTTAATTAAAGTTACCTAATACGTGATAACTCTTAAAATAGTAGCCTATTTTCCAACATAGGTCATAAGCTATCTCTGTGCGAAATGTCATGCAAATCTGTTCAGTCGTTTCCGCGTATTAATTTAATTAAAACTTTTTTAACAGGTGGCAACTCTTCCAAAAAATTAGCCTATTTTCCACTGTAGGTCATAAGCTATCTGCTTGCAAAATTTCATGCAAATCCGTTCAGACTTTTCCGCGTATTAATTTAATTAAACTTTTATAGCAGGTGGTAACTCTTAAAAAAGTAGCCTATTTTTCAACCTAGCTCATAAGCTATCTGTGTGAAAGCTTCCATGCAAATCAGTTCACTCATTTCCGCGTATTAATTAACTTAAACATTTCTAACAGGTGGCAACTCTTAAAAAAAGTAGCCTACTTTCTAACTTAGGTTATAAGCTATCTGTGTGCAAAATTTCATGCAAATCCGTTTAGTCGTTTCCGCGTATTAATTTAATTAAACTTTTTTAACAGGTGGCAACTCTTCCAAAAAATTAGCCTATTTTCCACTGTAGGTCATAAGCTATCTGCTTGCGAAATTTCATGCAAATCCATTCGGTCGTTTCCGCGTATTAATATAATGAAACTTTTTTAAAAGGTGGCAACTCTTAAGAAAAGTAGCCTATTTTCTAATCTAGGTCATAAGCTATCTGTGTGCAAATTTTCATGCAAATCCATTCAGTCGTTCCCGCATATTAAATAAATGAAACTTTTTTAACAGTTGGCAACTCTTAAAAAAAAAAATAGCCTATTAACCAACCTGGCCCATAAGCTATCTGCGTACAAAATTTCATGCAAATCCGTGTAGTCGTTTCCGCGTAATGATTTCCCAAACATCCAAACATACAAACTTTCACATTTATAATATTGATAAGAAGATGTATATATATACATACATACATACATAAGTGATTATAATTTTGTTTCATACCTGTTGTGGAGCAAAGGTTCTTTCTTTTGTTGAAAGTTCCAAGTGGATGTATTCCCACGTTACAACTCGCACGTTTTTATACAGAATTAGCATCTCCATAAAGCGTGCACGTCTTTTTATTAATTCATATATGGATGTGTTTATTTCTTAAATTTTCGCATAATTGATGGCCACAGATACATATGATTTCACCATTAATAAAATAAATTTAATTCGGCGCATTTTGCTTAAATTTCAATGTAAACAATAAACAGATGATTTCGAACTTGGGTAAATGTGCATTTGCTAAATGCGATAGCATGAACGCTCTTCGAAAATATATGTTCGAAAGTGCTAAATGTTGCATTTTAAATGCAGCAAAAACGCTGCATAATGAGCTGCTCTGGGTGTTTCTGGAGGATTTCCTTGCTCCAAAGTATTCTACCTTCGGTGAGAGCACGATTTCCTGCTCCAGCTTCTTATTTGAATGGAGTAACTTGAAGCAAGCAAGCACACACATATATTGTACGATATGGACGAATCCAGTGTCGAACAGTCAAGGGGGTTTGGTTATTTGTACAATGATTTTGGGGTGCCGTGGGCAAACGCGCGACCCAAACCTAAAGGCTGCAACATACACGTGTAGGCAAAGAATTGAACTTTAATTTAAACCAACACTTCTGTGCTCTTTCGTACTGTTCTAAAAAAAATCTTATTTTGCAGCTACCCCATCCGGCTATAGTTGCCGCCACCACAGCAGCGCCCATACAACGGCGTAACACGGGTGCGCAACACCAGCAACCACCAGAGAGCGGTGCATCAACCGGGGAGCACCCGAACACACCAGCACCCCGCCTAGCAACCCCGACAACAATCGGCACCAACAAGAACCACGGCTGCTACAGCAGCAGCTACAACTACAACACCAACAACAGGGGTAAGCACCAGGGTAACCAGCGCGCCAGAGCGCCAGCGACCGCGCAAAGAGCGGTAACACCAGCGAACCGCCCAAAGAGCGGCGGCACTAACCGCAAAAGCGTTAACCAGCAACGACAACACCAACAACAGGGGTAAGCACCAGGGTAACCAGCGCGCCAGAGCGCCAGCGACCGCGCAAAGAGCGGTAACACCAGCGAACCGCCCAAAGAGCGGCGGCACTAACCGCAAAAGCGTTAACCAGCAACGACAACACCAACAACCGGGGTAAGCACCCGGGTAACCAGCGCGCCAGAGCGCCAGCGACCGCGCAAAGAGCGGTAACACCAGCGAACCGCCCAAGTAGCGGCGGCACTAACCGCAAAAAAAGGGTAACCAGCGCGCCAGAGCGCCAGCGACCGCGCAAAGAGCGGCAACACGAGCTATATCGACCAACACCAGCTATAACAACCAACCAACAGTCACAACAACAACACCAGCCGGCCACACACAAGCCTGCTGCAACAAGGGTGAGTCCTTCGGGCCATATAAAATTTGAAAATAAATATAAAGTTGGAAGTAGAGCTTTTAAAGTTCAATTTTCATTTAATATAAATAGATACATACCTTATTAGCATACATAAAACTTATATATTAAGGTACCCGTGTACATACATATTATCAATTATCGTAATTAACTAAAATGTTTTTCCACACGAGATAAGGCGATCATACATAGTTATAATGAATGCACCTCACTTGAGGCATACCCACGGTATGATGCACATATAAGCCCTAGTGGCTGCATTGGGTTTTCTTCGTATTCAGTTTGTAATATATATTGCGTTTGGTATATATATTGATATTAAATTAAATAAAAGCAAATTGAATAAAGTAAATTAAATTAATTGGAAAAAAATAAAAATTTAAGAAAATTTCCTTAAACAAACATAGAATCAAATTAAATAAAAGTGAATTAAATTAACTAAAGCGAACTGAAGTAAACTACTATAGATTACGACTTAAGGAACCTAATTTTTAACTAAAATAAATAAATAAATAATAATAAAATAAAACGAAAGATATACAAATAAAAATAATCCAGTGTATAAACTAAAGTAAACTACACTTTAATATAAATTCAAATAATATAATTCTAAGTAAATAAGGAAATTATAACAAAGAAAATGGCCACGATATAACAAAGAACTTAATATGCACAACTAGTAATACTAATAATAATAAATCCAATAGAAAAAGGAAATTAGAAGATTTAAAGGAAAGAATTAAAGACCAAAACGAAATTTAAACAAATAAATACAGAAATATAGGGGAAATAGATTTCATATACTTACCAGAACTACAAACCCGACTTACTTGCCTGACTTCCATACCGGATTTACTTACCTGACATGCTTACCTAAATTACTTACCTTACCTCCGTTTCCTTATACTTACCTTAGATCTAAGATTCACACCTACCTAGTTGCTTAAGTAAATACATATACCTACCAGTTTTAGAGATTAGGACTTAGTGTTAGGATGATTAGTTTTAAGGATTAGTTGTTAAGAAAATGAATTTGTTTGAATAAATTGTTATTAAAATGGGAATGCTAAGTCGACTCATTATTTAGGAAGGCATGTAGGCACTTTTTACTTATGGGGTCATCGAGAATAAGGTGCACCGATGACCACGGCTAAGGGTGGGTCAGCACCAGGGGCCACACATCGCCCAGTGGCCCCAATCATATTCGGCCTTAGCTTCTTGTTTTTGTTTTTGCTTAGATTGGTATTTTGTTTTCTTTTGACTTTCAGCTTGTTTTATATTTTAAGGTTCTTTTCCAGCTCTTTTTTTGTTTTAACGGATTTTTTTTTGAATTATTTTGCTATGTGTCCGTCCATTAAGACGTTTGACAAGGCATGACTTTTCTCTGCTATGGCGCAGGGAACAGCGGTGAAGGCAAGAACCCAGCCCAGCCGACATGACTAGCCATAGTGCACCCTATTGTGTCATGCCGCCTGCATTCACTGCTGCTCTCAATGTATGCGTTCCATAACAGTGTTCTCTGCAAAAGGTGTTCAGCTCCTTTTCTTCGCAAAACAGAAAGAGAACCCTATTTTGTGAGGGTTATAATCCCTAAGTGCGGCCGAAGGCCGCCTACGCGGAAAGGTGTTCTCTGCGAAGGGTGTTCAGCTCCCTTCTTTCGCCTGATAACCACCTTGTGATATTTCATTTTATTTAAAAATCCGACAGATTCTGTTAGTTGGGTTATATTCCACTTCAAACTGCACAATTTCCCTCGGTAAATGCCGTTTTTTGCCCATTTTAAAACGGTTCCCTAGGGGCCTGTGGGAGGCCCCGAAGGGGTGTGCGACTTTTCGTAAAGTTGGGTTTGTTCCCTTTCGAATGGGGGCAGGGGGGAAGGGTTAGGGGACCACGCCCCAGCCCCTCCGCTCCCCACCCCAAAAACGTCCGGCAAATAACTAAACTTTTCCCAAAGACTGAAACGACTTGACGGTACAGACGCAAGTATACACTTCCCTTTTCCCACCCCTTCCCTTCCACAAGCAAGCAGAATTGAATTCAACAGTTGAACCGTGTAAAAGCGCTGCAAAAAAGCAAGGTTTGAAATTCGGATTTATATGGTTTTTTAGATAATGAGCTATACTTTTGTATAAAATTAATAAACCTTAAACAAACAAAAGAAAAATAAGCAAAACTTGTTAAACTGTTGCGACCCTATTAATACTTATTAGTGCTATTTATAAGACGTCGCAAAGTTGCATTTTTAGCGAAATGGCAATGTTGCGAACAAAGTTGTATGAACGACCTATCGCAACTCCGGATTGCAAATGTAAAATTAAAAAAAGGCGATTTAGAGAAAAAGAAAAGTTTTTACAATTATATTTCGAAGAAGCCCCAACTGATATACTTTTTCTTGAAGTATTTAAAGACAGTAAAAAACACGTGTTTCGCGACTTTGACTTTGCAATGATTGCCAGCTCAAATACTATGGCAATATCGCAAATTTTTTCAATTTTTCATACAAAAGTAATCAGCTGTGTCGCAAGATGGCAAATTTTGCGACAAATGCGACATTTGCAAAAACTTTGCGACGTTTCATGAATCCCATTAAAAATTTCTAAATTCGCTAAACATCTCTCTAGCTTGTCTTGGATTAAACTTATCCATTATTTCCAAAATATTTTTTTTTTTTACTGATCATGCACTTTTATTATTTATTTATTTATTTATTAATATTAGGAGGCTCGGCGACTAGGCCATTTGCCTCGCAAGCGAAATTATATTTCATGCAGCAGGTTGTGTTTGTTGAGGGCGTCGCTTAGCAGTTTTATTGTATGTTCATCGCTGCAGTCTAGAGTTGCAGTCAAGTTATTGCTATAACCGGAGATGGGACAGTCCTTAAGAATGTGTTCTATACTGAGGGGTTCGTTACATTGCCTGCATTCCCGTTGAGCTACGCGTTTGTATTAATGCTCAGATGTGAATTTGGTTACGCCTACTCTCATTCTTGCTATTGTTATACATTTTTCGCGTGAAAGGTCCTTATTATAGTTCAGTCGGTCACATCTGACGTTGTGGGTCCTTAAAAAACACTTGGACGATTCGCACAATCTATCTCTGGTTGCTCTAAGGTACGATCTATGGAAATTCGTCATGGCAGTGACTAAGCAAGGAGACTCTGCTACAAGTGGCACACTAAAAGCTTGTTTAGCAGCTTTGTCTGCTAGCTCATTGCCTGTTATCCCCATGTGTCCGGGTATCCATGTCAGTTTCATATCGCCGTGTTTATTAATTCTCCCCACTACGTATCTGTGCGCTTCACTATTTCGGTCCATTAGCGATTTTAGCACACTCAAGTTATCCGAGAAAATGACTGCCGGTTTTTTGATTCTGGTTGCGTGTTGGACGGCAAATTTAATTGCTGTTAATTCGGCGTTAAAAATACCAGCATATGGCGGCAGAAGAGCTTGATGGAGTTGTTGATGAATTCCATCCATCCGTTGTTCTATAACAGCATAAGACGGTGATTCTTCGAGTAAGGAGCCATCAGTATAGTAGAAGGTATCAGCTGAACAGTTTGCTTTATATGCTAAAAACATTTTGATGTAGACTTCCGCAGAGGTGTTGCTTTTATTGAAAGCGCTCAATGAGATGTCGATGGAGATACTTTTGTCTGTATTGGGATATGCGTGTCCTTTAGATACTTGGTAATAGCAGTGATGCTGCAGATGCTTCTGTAGCTTTTGACCCTAGAACTTTCTCTAGTTATACAATCCCAAAAAGTGTTATGCAGAGGATGCGAGGCCGTTGTGATAGATTCCTGGTGAAGGTAACGCCTAAAATTTTCGTTTTCGCTTTGAGATCGACGTTTTTGTTTCTCAGTGTAATGGACGATACGTTCCAGTTTCTCTTTCTGCAAATATGAATGGCTTCAATCTTGTCAGCCGGTATTAATGCTCCGGTTCTTGCCGACCAGTCTTGAAAATTTTTGTTGGTTGAGGTTTTTCTTTATTTGCGTTTCTAATAGTTTGCAAAGCGTGTGTACTCCGTGGTTGGGCATGTATGCATGCTGGATTTTGAGGATTTTACCATCGCATGCCTTCCACAGTCTTCTCGTCACTATTTTGTCTAATATTTTCGAGAGCACAGGTAATAAGGATATAGGTCGGTACCCTTCGACTGAATTCTGGTTCTTACCTAACTTTGGTATGGGCATAAGTACAGCTTCCTTCCAGTCGTGTGGGTAAATACCCGTTTTTAAAATATTGCTATAAAGCCAGCACAATCTTATTTTGAAAACGCTCGACGAATTTTTTACCATAACATAAGTTATTTTATCCTTCCCAGACGATGTTCCTTTAGTATTTTTGAGCGCAAGATGTAATTCCGCACTTTTATATTCTTCATTTTTGGAAGAACATTCTGAAATTTCGAACTTTGCGGCCAGAATGGAGAATGCTAACATAATTACTAGGCCAACCAAAAATATGGTAGAGCATGTTTTTTTTCGTATACTTTATCATAAAATGCATAAAAAGGAAATGCTAATTGTAAAAATATAAAGCGTTTTTTAACATATTTGTTAGAGCATATTTCGTATTAAATGCATGTTTTGGCTGTTTTTAAATA